CCATCAACTCTACAACAAGCACTTTAATGGTACTGATGAGCTGTGGGGCAGTCCTGGGGCAGAGGTTCATCACTGCTGCCAGCATCATGGGAGGTGTTTTGCAGTGCACTTCTCAGGAGTCTGTGCTCTGAAATTCTTCAGCCAGTAAGAACAATGGGGGGATTTACCACCTGACCCAAAGGAAAATGAGACATTGTGTACAGGTAAGATTAAAATGATTAATCTCAGGTGATTGCAGGAGAAACAGCTGTCCTTTGTGTTACTTTCTCACAATCATCCAAAAAACCCTGGAAAAAGGCAAATTTCGGTTTCCTTCAACACCTGCTAGAATATTTGATATGTACATTGTAACCTTTATTCCTCCTTCCCGTATCTTGTTGGACTTTGGCTTTTGGTGAAGAGATTTCTTTAGTTCCATTCTGAAAGTGCCCATAGCATCTCAGCTCTCCATCAAGTATAGACACAGTTTAAATAACAGTTTATCAGAGAAGACTCTTGCTTGCTTCACATCTTGGGGAATCAGTAAATAGCAGAGAATAGAATATTTGGGCTTTCTCTTCAATCCCCAAAAAACACCACCAAATCTATGAATAACTATAGATGGCTAGGAGGAAATTTTCCAGCAAGCTCAAACCTGCTGTCAGCACTTTACTTCAAGGAAGAGAAGAGAGCTAGTGAATCCTGCACATGAATCCACAGCCCTGGGCAGAGCATAGGTAGCAACAGCAAAACCTGGATTGGTAGGTTTGCCTGTGAGAGCCAGGCTCATAGGCAGGCTGCAGACATGTAGCTCCTGCATCTTCTTGTAGTGATGTAGTGGAAATGCTGAGTCACAGTGATTGAGCACCTGGTGGGAAGGCAAAGTCAACCCAGGGGAGCTCAGGTGCATGCAATGCAATGGAATGCAATACACCTGAGAGATCAGAAGGGGTGGAACCAGGATCCACCCCTTCCCAGGCCTCATTTAAAGATTGACAGTGGAGGAAAGACTATCTTGCTGGGGATCTCTGCCTACCTGAGGTCTTTTGAAGGTAAGCAGATTTTTTTTTTTTCTTCTTTGTTTTTGTTTCTTCTGCTGTTGTGTTTGAATGTATCTTCACTTGCAGTTCTCCTATCTTTGCTGTATTTTCCATTATGTTTTTCCATTGTGTTGCAGCACTTCAGGTTGTTGTTTGCATATTACTATTAGAGTATTAATCATTTAGTAATATTTTCATCCTTATGCATGAGAGAAATATATTTTTCTTGTTGCTTTGTATGAGCAACATACAAAATCTCATTAGTGGTGGATTCATCTCAGAGCAGGAAGAGAAGCATCCCTGGAGTTTCTTATTCCAGAAGCAATATCCTCATCTTCACACCTCATGCAAAAGATGAAAAAGCACAGCTCTTTGTGGTTGTGCTCTGCTCAAACAAACTGTCCTCTTCCCTGCACCCCATGTGAGAAGAACAGTGGAATAGACAGGCAGGCTTCTAGTAGGTACACACCTATGTTTTGTCTGCTGTATTAGCTCTCTTGAACTCCTTTGCTTTCTCATAGATAGTTACAATAAGGCTACGAATAACTTCCTCTATTTTGTTTTTTTTAAAGAAAATGCATTTCAATTTTAGATTTAAGTGACATTTAGTTATCTTAAGAAACGTAGTCAAAAAGTTAAGCTAAGCTATTTAGTGAAGTTATTTTAGTTTCATTCATCTCAATTTCTTTAAATGAAATCTAATCTCTCTGGGATCAAGATGCTCTCTGCAACTCAGGGAAAAAGAATCTTTCCCATAGCACCTTAGGTGGAAAAGGCTATTTAGTATTACTGAGGTAGCACTATCCACGGTCATTGCATTTATCATCCCAAAGGATAGAAAGTAGAAATCTTTCTGATCCACTTCTATATTGTTTTACATATTTACTTCATACTGTAGCATGTTTATAGCTCTCTTTCATCGGCTAACTTACTAGATCCTGATGGGATAATTTCAGGCAGCCTACAGCTATGTTCCTCCCTGCTTATGCTGACTATGTTTTGAGCAACAGGATATCAATTCCATGTTAATATAAGAAAAGTAAGAACAAGTTTTCACTGCAGTAAGTTCATCTTTTAACTCATTCAAACTTTCAGGGAGGAGAGATGAGAATGTTTCTTGTATTATAAATGAATGTTATAGTTTGCTCTTTTCTTAGGTTTGTCATATCCTGTTAGCAGTAATCTAGTAACTCATCATTACTAGTACCATGTGAATGCCTACTCATGTTAACCTACAAAATGGGGTTCTAACAGCTATAAAGGTATACTATGTAACAAGATAAAATTGCTAAAGCTTTTAGACTTTCACATTCCCTGTACAAGTGAAGGAATAATGTGTTTTATTCTATAGGGACTGTATCTGTGTTTGTGTACAATAGATAAAAGGCATCATCACAAGTGCTTTCACCACATCTGCACACTTTATATTCCTTTAGCTCCACAAAAATTCCTTGAAGTGTATGTATTTCATGGCCACAGTGTATGCTGCAGTGCAGGTGAGAAAATGCTGTTCCTTAAGACACCTAATAACATCACATTTATTCACCTGTGAAATTAGTTCATTTAATTATAAAAAACTCTATGCCTAGTCATAAGAAATTACTATTGCATATTCCTATAAATACTTGTTCACTTTTAAGGATAAATTGAGTAGGAATTTGCTTCCAAAGCATTTTCATCAGTATACTGTCAGCTTACTGCTGATACCTTTTAATTACATGAGGTTTTCTTCTGGAGATTTATCCTTAAATCTCCTGATAATCCCAGCAAAGTCTTGATGTCAAGTAATGGACTGCTCCCCTTACAGTGCAATTACATCAAGAAAAGAGTAGGATCTAAATAGTTCCTTTTTTTCCTCATTTTAATAACATAAAATTGTTAAATGGGCATAGAACTTAGGAAATGTCAGTCGGAAAAAACAAGGTTCCCAGGAGAAGATCCTGTGCTACACATTTTCTTCTGAAAAGAAAAAAATGGACGGCAGCTCCGTGGCATGCAATTTCATCTTTCAGGAATTTTATTTAGACTCACTAATGAATACACGTTATTCTGCTTTTGTCCACAAGTGAAAAACCAAGGCCAGCTACCCCTTCCTGAGCTCAAAACAAAGAAGAGAGAGATGCAAAAGACCAGCTTGAGTTTGCTTGGATTTTGAGTACAATTTAGATGTTAGGTGACTTAACTATTTGAGGTATAATGGCAGTTGCAAATATTCCGGGGTTACTCAGTTAAATTGAGTAAATAAATAACTGGGTGTGAACACACAGCTGATCTGGGCATTCGGCGAAGTGCCATCTCCCAAAGACCTGCAGAGGCTTTGTGCACATTTCTCCTGATTGAATGCTGTTCCTTCAGTCAGTCAGGACGTGGGACGAGTTGCCAGAAATCATTCATCAGCCCCTCGCAGAAAGGGCTGTCAGCTCGGGCTGCAGGCCTAGCGCCAGGCTGTCAGGCGTTGGGCTCACAGCCAGTCTGTCATGGTTTGGGGCTAGTAGCCAAGCAGTAACTTTGATGTTGAAGGGGTTAGCCAACTGGTATGTGAGGGTGGCCTATCAGCTCAGAAATAATATACTGCGCTCAAAGGTCATGAGTTCTGAAACTAATCTGGCTGTTATAATATTTCTAATAAAAACTGAGGTAGACATTTTATACTGTAAAAAAGTGTTCAAATTATTTCAGTATTTGTTTTGATTAAAATTTCCATTACACGTGCTTTTCATTATGCAACTCAATTAGTATATAAAAGATTTTCTGTTTAAAATGTTCAAATGAGCATAATTGTTCAATTTGGAAAGATTACAATGCTTTTATTTAATTAACACTGCAATAAATACTTCATTTTGTAATGAACCCCATACTTTTGGGCCATTAACTATTCAATAAATTTACAGTATGGAAGGTTCTTTATGGGGAAGAAGATAAATAAAGCTATTTAAATGAATGTGCAACAGTTATGATGCTAAGAAGCAAATTATAGCTTTTCCTTTCCCATCCACTAGAGTTGTACCTCAATTACAAACATATGGGACTGTAATAAACACTACACATTTCAATTACTATTCTGAACATGAGTTACACAACACTCTTGGAAATTTGTTACGTAAAAATGCAGTCTATGTTCATGGTATCCCTTCAGAAAAGGAAGCTGAAATAACATGAATTCTGCCTTTTGCTGCCTTCTCCCACCCTGTCCGCAGCATCTTTGGTTCTGCAATCCCAAGGACCAACCTGAGATCTAGATTTGTTGGTTCTTCATGAGGGAAAAGGAATAAGACTCTTGGCTAATAATAGTTTATTTACCATGGTGTTATAGTAAAGGAACTGCCCCTGGAAGCAGTGTAGCGTAGTGCACTCCTGTATACTTAACAAATTGAAATAATGGGGGAATACAGGCTCTAACAGAGTAATGGAAATATAATTAATACATGATCCTGCTGGAGCACTATAAAGACTATCTTGAGGACTACAACATGTGTCTAAATCTATGAACCGAAAGAGGCTCTTTTGGTAGCAGAAGCAGTGTTCACAGTCAGGTGGGAGGCAAAGTCTGGAGTCCCATAAGTGACCTGAAGATGATGTGATTGGCTGCAAGGTGCCAAATGCCTACAGATCCTAACAAAGCCAATAGCAATGGGAGCTCCCAGCACTTGCAGGAGCAGTTCAGCTTCATTTCAAACCAAGCTGCCTGGGAACCAAGCAAAGAAATCTAAAATGCCTGTCCCAAGTGCCACTGGCAAGTTGACTGTTCATATGCCACTGTAGGGGTCATGAAAAAAAAAAAAGGGTCATTGATCTTAATATTCCGTGTCTTTTCATGGTTATGTGCAAGGCTGCAAAATGGAAGGGCAAAGATATTTCATATTTGCAGAAGGGCTCAGCCAACAAAGTTCACTAAACTAACTTGCCAAAAAATGGCAACGCAACCAGTAACAAAATTAAATGCGTGAACTTCACATGGTTAAAAAAAGTCTCTGTAAAATTATGATTCTTTATTAACTTTGACCACTGAACAAACTACTTGAAAAGCTTTGCCGCATGCCGTATTAAATGTTATTTAATTTTTTTCCTAAACTGAATGTAATACATAAGCTCCTGAGACAAAAAAAAAATAAAATGTAGAGACCAGTTAAATATAGGTGAGAAGAAAAAATACCATTGAAACTTGACTCAATAGCTAGTTTTTTGTAAGAGCATATAAAATTCCTAAGAATATCTTTTAAAGCAAGTAAACACTTAAAACACTTTTTTCTCAGGAAGTTTTGCCACCTGTTTTTGTGTACTTTATGAAACAGGAAAGAGACACCTGTTGAGCAAGAATAAATTGTGCAGTTTGTGGTAACTTTATTAAAGATTAATAATTTTTCTAACTGGAAGTGAGACAAAAACATTTAACAGAAGAGACTCTTTCTAGTGGAAGTTTGAATAAGGAAATGGTATTTGAGACTGTAGAATTACAGGGAGAAAAGCAACAAAATATTTTGAAATATTAACTGCATAGTCTGGTTAGTGAAAGTGTTAAAATCAGATTGAAAACTCAACAAGCCTTACCCTGTAGCTTATACACAAGCTTCTTAGACCCTTGCATTTGCTCCTCCTGATTAACTAGGATATGAGCTTTCCAGCCATGTGCCTCCACATACTTCATCAAGGCTGATTTCCCTGTAAGTTGTGTATCAGTACACTTAGCATTGCTAGGAGAAGAATATATCTCTTCAGGTCTATTTTGAGGGTGTATCTCGAGGGCCTGATTAATCAATATGCTTAACTCTATTTCAACAACCTGATTACTAATAAATACACCTAGAGCTGTTACATTTTATGGAGCTTAAACACAAGTCTATGTAGTAGTTCTGTTTAAACCTAAATATTCATTCTCCAAAGGTAAATCAAAGGTTCTTGCTGATTACTAGTTTTCTTTATAATTTTAGGATCTAAGAACTGTTCTTAATTTAGGGCCGGTTTGGTGGAGAAATGATAGAAGATTCCTTCATAATTAACTGATGTTATCAAACACCAAACAAAAAAGTCAAATACTGGGGGGGGGGGGGGGATTGCATACTCCAGTAAGTTCTGCAGTTCTGCTATGTTGTCTCTAAATTCTCCACCCAGAAAGGAGAGTGCCTCTAGTTTAGACCTCAGGTACCAAGAGAATATGGGATCCCTACCTTTAATCTACACAGCGAATGAGAATAAAAACAATCAGCCGTAACAGTGTAAAGTATAAGTTATTAATTTTCTGCCTACAACTTCTGACACAATGATTTCTGTTCCCACAGACAAGGTTGATTTTTGTTTTTAAACACTTTTTTCATTACCATTCTTATGCCAACCCCACAAAACTCTTTATCCTTATTTTATGGCAGCAATACTCTTATTTATTAAAGCAATAATCGTAGTCCCCCTCTTTCACTTGAACCTATTTACTTAGAGTATCTTAAGTAAGAAATTCATTGACTGATCACTGTTGGGTGTATGTGTTTTTTTTTTTTCCCCTAGCTCATTCAGTACATGATTCTGAACCAAATAAGTAGCTTTACAAATTGTATGTTGTAGGACAACAGAGCTGCTCTGAAGGGTCAGCTGAGAACATGTCATAAACAGTAATACCTGAAGGTATCTCATAACTGTAGTAGAAAGGGCTTTTTTCTTTTCCAGCACCGTGGCAGTCTGAAAGCCATTAAGATACTGAGTTATGTGACCAAAGGACAATTTTGTCCTTTATTATGTAGATCAGAGGTTGAAGTATGAAATGTCTCGTGCGCTTGGCACTCAGCGTGTTCTCTTCCAAGATGCTCGTTCTCTGGACCAGTTTTCCTTCAAGGCCATAAACATCTGGAAACTGTGCACTATTCATACTACAGAAATCAAACCCTCAAGTCCTTATTTGATCTCATGGGGAACATTCCCATTGCTTTCTTCTGCTGTGCCATAGAATTTGGCTTTGTATTTGACAGATTCTTTTCCTAGGTGATGGGGAACCAGTCAGACAAGGATAAATTAGGTCTTTTTTTGCCAGCTGCATTATTTAACTAAATAATTAAATCTTGAAGAGAGGAGGATTTATCCTGACACGAGCTTGTTATAAAAGTAAAGCTAGTCTATTTCATCCTTACCAGGATTTACCTGTTCTAGAAAGATGTGGGCTTCATGAAATCAAGTTATTAACCATGCTTCCTGTTGTGAGACCTATGCCTAGGAACAGAAATGCATAAACAGGACAGGTATACAGTGATTTTTGAGACACGCTTGCTCATTCTGAGTATCAGGCTGTGGGACCTCCTAAGTTGTTTTCTAAGAAACAACAGTTGATACGGTCACATAATTGAAACATTAATAGCTTTTCCAAAAGAAACAGATCTTGCTTTATCTGAACATCACAAGATTTGGGCTTGGCCTGATCTTTGATGTTGGAAATTTCCAGCAGCTCGAAAACGGGTTTTCATATGAGGCTCTTGTGTTTGGCCAAACACATCTTTAAGAGGAAGAGATTTAAAGGAATGTTGGAAAGTTTTCACTATGTAATCGTGACTTTCCCATTTCCTCTGTTACTACCATCAGGTAACTTTCCCTTCATAAAGAATTGTATTTAGGATTTTATTTTTAAACTTGACAAAAAAAACAGTGGGATACATTATATCCATGATATATTCCTGGAGCTTGAGAATGCAGTTCCCCATAGCCTTGTGAGCTGACCTGTTCTCATATATAAAATCCTGTTCCTATCAAAGTTCCCAAATAATATTTTGCTTGTTGTTCTTCATTCAGAGAAAATCCCTGTGCATCTCAGAAAGAAATGGAAAACTCACTTTGGTTAAAATATCATGAAAATGGAAGTATGAAGTGCAAATTAGAGGAATGCATCTTTCATTTTCATGTTAAACACTTCAACATCATTTGGAAAAAATCAGAGCTTGCTTTTTCTTTCCCCACCAAAAAATTTGTGAATTCCCTTCCCCTTGTGCTTTCATTTTTATTTTCCAGTATTGTTATCCTTCAAGAAAACAACAACTCTGACTAGATTTTCCTGAATGTTCAAATATAAAATTTCCTTAACAGTTTTGTGACTGCACGCTGTGGGCCCTTACGTGGACAGACACTACCAGAGGAGCTGGCCTGTTGAGCATCTCATAAATAGGAGTCCAGTAGCAGGTAAGCAAATGTGCTACTTATCAGATCTCAATTTATTTTTGTGCTCTAAAAGCCTGATACTGCTTCATGTAAATTATTAATTATAAGGCTGTAAATAAGGTGCTACAGATTCTGAAACTGAAGTTATGAAAAAAATGCTTGTTTTTTTTGAACAGGATATTCCACAGCATTAAGCTTTCTGTAGGACTGTACTTAAAGTTTTCTTTTTCTATCACCCTTTACAAAAATATTTAAGTCTTAAAACTCAGTCGAAGGATATATGTAGTTATGACAGGAGATAACAAGTTTCATGTGGACATTTGAATATATGAAAAAACAGCAGGTGAGACTGACACTGGTAAAGCATCTATATGTATTTACTTTCATGAGTTCAGGTTGCCTACCTAATTTATGAGCAGCTGACTGAAATAAAGCCATAACAGAGTTCAAATAAGTGGTCATTCCAGATAAGTTTTTTTTCTTTAAACTCTACTACCCTCACATTTAACCACTGGCAATGTTGTCTGTCATGTTGGACCGTGTATATAATCTCTGCAATAAGAAGCAAAGGGAACTTAATGCTCTTCAAGGGGTCTAAAATGTACATTTAGAGGTATTAGTAAGCAATTGCATTGCAGGAATATTCGTGGCTGGCTGTCTTTTTCTGGCCTGGGAATTGTCAATCTCTCTACAGCACGTGAGAATAACATGTTGGGATGCCACAAGTATGTGGGTAACATTTATGTAACCTTCAGCCTTTGTGGGAAAATAAAAGCTTTTGTTACTTGGATTTGACTCTGTACCAGATGGTATGAATAAATGTTTGCAATGCCAGTGTTGTTCAGGTTGGCTGATCAATTCTGTCATACTCTCAAGGAGGGTAAGAGAGGGCTTAAATAACTGATTCAGGATGTAGAAAATATTTCTCCTTTCCTGTTGCAATAGTACTATGTAGAAGTGATGCTAGTCTGACTGCCAGCTTCTTGCTTCACGGGATACCTAAATTGTATAAGTATTGATCAGATTTTTAGCAAAATTCATAGCATTTATTGCCAGCCATTTCACAAATCGCACGCATTTTTGATTGCAAGACATATTTTAAGCAGAATGGTCACTTTTTTTCTTTTTGGTATTAGTTTTTCTTAGACTAGCCAGAACTGATGCAAAAATCTGTGATCAGCTCCTGATCAAATCTAGTTTCAGTTCCAACCTGGCCAGCAGGTGTATTTTTATGGTAGAATAATTTGGCAATTCTTTCCTTGGCCAGTTCAGGCCTGATAACAGCAGTCATCTTCTTTCTAGTGTGTGGAATACAGTGCCTAGGACACTGGCCTTAAGCTGACTCAGGGCTTCTAGTGCATGCTACACATAAGAACAAAGTTATTCATTTATGAAGTTGGCGTAACGCCTCTTCTCCTTTTTAAAATTTTCCCCCTTTCTTTTCTAGGTCCAAAGTGGTGAATCTCACAAATGCAGGCACCAGGGCTTTCTTTGAAGGGATGAAGGATATTGAATCCTTAGAAGACTTAAGTCATTAAACTCTATCATGTGTCAAGTTTTATGCAGACCCTGATCACTCATGCCACAGAACCCAAGCTGCTTTTTAGGGGAAAAAAAAGAACTTGTTAATACTTCTAATTCATAATAATAATTCATAAAAGCATGTAGTAGTCTTGGCTTCTGTGCTACATTGAAAAATTGGCTGAAATGCCTATTGTGATATCAGGTATGAAAGGCAACATTCTTCACACTTCCTCTGCAAAGTCATTTTTAATTTGGCAATGTCAGCTTTATGTTGGTTTTGTTCTTCAAGCTCCTGGTCTGTTTTAACCCATCTCCTCCATTTATGCTGCACTGTGTCATTTAGAAAGCTGTGAAATCTCCAAGGGTTTTTCAGCCCTTTCATATCCATACCACAGTACTTATCAAATCTGTTCCTGTGGAGAATGCCTCATTGCTCTTAGCAGACCATAGCAGAGTCTCGACAATCATTTTCCATCAATTTTTCTTAAAGCAGGAAAGATAGATACATAAGTATTTAAATACTGGTGTCTACAAAACTATTATTACAAGGTAAAAACACCTCTGGGACAAACTTGCATATGAATAATTTCATTGCGACCAACAGAGCAAAGCTGTGTTTACAATGTTGTATCTCAGAGTGAAATTTCCCTATCTCTATCCTACCTGAATTTATAACAGATGAGTAAGCACTCTTTGGGATATATAAGATATGAACACAGAACTTTCATCACACCACCCTGAACCACATTTTAACCCATACATGTGGTGTACACCTGTGCTTTTTCTGACAATGCACTTGATTTGTGGTGTGGGAAACTCCCAGGTTCAAAGCTAATCTAGTGTCTTTGTTTTCTCTTACAAATTCTTTTTAAGATTTTTCTCTGCTATTCTTACACAGCTTCTAGGGTAGCTGCATTTTCAGTTCCGCCTCCTCTAAGAATGTGGAATTTATTTTCACTAATACAGGGTTAAGTACTTAAAAAAGAAGGACCCATTGCAAGCACAAAGGATTATGAAGTGTCACAGCAATGTTGTTCAAATGCTCTGCTCTACGTATGTTCTCTCAAAGCCAATAATGTTCAGAGGGAAATCAATTTCATAAAATTAAAAAGGAAAAAAATAAAAGCTAGGAAGTAAAATTCAACATTTAGAAGTAGATCTTCTTCACTATTTCACTTCAAAAAGCACAATTGTTATTTTAACTGTATCACCAACCCTTACACAGCCATGTGGTGTGGACTGTGGAGACATTATACAAATACTTTGCTTTCCATCTTGATCTAAAGAATAATCTCCAGCATCGTCTCTTACTACGTCTCTCAGGCCAGGCTGCTTATGGACTCAAAGGGGAGCATTTTCTACCTTTTTTCTACCTTTTTTCTGTTATAATTCATCATTTTCCATCTGCTCCCTGGCCCTTCTCTCCTTGCTCCTCATCCGTGTCTGTGCCAGGCTCAGGGAGTGGGGATAGCTTCTTTTTCAGAGCAAGCTGGAAAAGGGTTGTTTAAACAGTTTGGAAGCTTGAATTTATTTCAAAGGGATCTGGAGGACTAACACACAAGACAAGAGATTTCTACATGAAAAATGTAACACTCTTAGATTTTGAAACAAAAGAGAGATCTGAGACCCAAACTGATTCTATGTTTCAGGCTGTCTCTTACAGGAGATCCTATGAATGTGTATTTTGATGGATATCCAGTAAGAAACAGATACTGTATTTCTTGGTAATAACACTGACATACCTATACAACTATTATTTTGTAAAGAGTAGGTGGAAAAACCATTTGTGAAAACAAGAGCTGTATTAAGAATCTTGTTCCAATAATTTAATCTGATTTCATGTGAGGGGAAAAAAAAAAACTACCTTCATGGGTGAAAATTTGTATGGTTGGGAATTACGCCTATTGTATTTTACAGCTTTAAGATATTGCAGCTAGTGAACAAGCTTATCATGCCTCCAATAGACAAGTGTTGAAGAGTAGAAAGTCTCAAAATAATTTTGCACCTAATTATACATATATTTGAAAAGAAATTCATTAATAGCCATTCATACATTCAGCCAAGCTGGAGTGCAGTGTTCAAGGCAGCAGTTGCATCTTAAACTCAATGATAACAGGCATTGGCTATCTGGACTATTATAGGCAAAATGGCCACATCCTATACATGGAGTATACTAGCCTCTTTGTAATTTAATGCTGGCATCTTTGACAAGGTAGCTGCATTCTGTCTCACAGCATGTTGTATATTTTAAATGCTGTTGTACAACTGCTGGCCAGACCGCACAGTATAAAGTAACAGCTGAACAAAAAAGAGATTCAGTACTAACAGGCAAACCACAGAAGTCTTGGCTGAGCATCCAAAACTGTTAATGCTTATCGGGACCTCCTGAGAGCCCCCCTCCTTCCTGCAGCCCAGAAAAGTCCACCGCCAAGTGTCCTGATCCTCATTAACTTCACATCACTGTCATTTGCTAGTTTCTCTGCAGCAGCCTCCGCAAGCTGCTTGGCACTTCCCAAGCACAGTAAGAGACATGTTTTGCTATTGCTTTCTCTTTTTTTTTTTTTTTAATATTCTTTTTTATTTTCTGGGGATGGAAGATGGCACAAGGCATGTGCTGTGCTGAGAAAATTACGGAATTAGCTCAATTTCTGTGCAGCAATGTGGTGCCCTTTGCTGTGAGTTGGAGCCTGGCCTCCCCAGCCCTTCAGGGGTCCTTTTGTTACTGTCACACCACTGGGCCTCTGGCCCTGCCAGCTTAGGCTGTAGCATGGGAGCAGCCCCAGAGAGTCTGAAGACACAAGTTCTGATACTTGTGCTAGGGAGCTTATGTCGATGAGGAGACACAAATCTAACGTGCATGATGCAAGCATGCATCGAAGCTTGCTGCAGGAGAGTGTAAATGCAGCTGTGTATGAAAATGCCTGCATCAAGCGCTGAGCTGACAGCAGCCTCAGTTTTTCCTTCCCCTCCCTGGGCCTGCATCTGCCAGAGCTCACTCACAGCTGCCATTTGTAGCACAGCCATCTGATGCAGTGTTAAAGGCTCCATATTTTATAATAGAAATTCTGTCACTGATCCTTTTCCCTATTGATAAGCCCTACTTTATGGCTGCTTGTTTTTTTGTTGTTGTTGTATTTTTTTGTTTGTTTTTTTTTTACTGTTTCTTAGAAATGGTCTGGGACCACAGATAGGCTTCGGGAGGTACCATATGATCACGACTTCATCTGAAAAGTACAATTATCCATCCAAAGAAGAGAAATTAGAGGAAAGCAACACACTCTCACTAGAACAACATGTTCTTCACTAATTCTCTTCCTCTGTCTTTTCTCTTCCTCCTTATTCTGCTGCTCTCATTTTTCTATTTCTCATCCATTTGGCTCCCTGAAATGGCCAGACCTGCTTCCAGCCTCTCTTCTCTCTGTACTTCTCCTCCTTAGCAGGAGACATTAGGCTTTATGAGTTATCACAAGACTGCTTTCTGAATGGTCAGTCAGGTATGATGACGTAGCTGTGACCAGCAGAAAGATCAGCAAAACTAATTTTTCTGCAGACTACCAGGAATCATAGTTTTACAGGAAAGCAGCTAAGCTCAATCTTAGCAAGTCTGTGACCTGCCAGTGCCCTGGGGAGTATCTGTAAGGTGTCACCAATGCTCAGATAAAAGAGCTTGCTAGTATGATTTCATTCACTCAGAGCATAACGTTATCCCCTGGCTCTGATCTAGAGTGCTAAAAAGGGTGTGTGTGTATTGTTTTGATTCTTTTTTGTTTCCTTATATTTAACAATAGCAAACATGGCTTCTGGCTTCATTGTGGGTGGTATATTAAACGTAAAATTTTCCCCTCTAAATATTTTCAGCTATGAATTTATTTTCTCCCCGCCCTGCTTGAACCATGATATTGTGCTAATATTAGTTACACCTTGGAGTTGCCACAAATCAGATATGCTGATTTTAGGACTTTCTTCTTGTTTTGTGCCAAAAAGTTAGAAACATTCATTAGCATTTGATGTAGCATCATGAAAATCCCAATTCCCAGGCTTTTCGTAACATGCAGTGTCTTCTTGCAGACATAATCTTGGAGGGGATAACAAAAAGGTACAGGCTCAGTCACTGTGTTGGTATGCCTTACAGAAGGACAGCAGTGTGGATTAATTGAAGAAAAAGAAAGTTGTCAGAGGTGCCATCAGAAAATTCTCATGACCCACCCAGATGCGTCTCTACTGAACATACAGTGACATAAGTACCTGCAAAACAGCCCTGATTAAGAAAGTTATGCTTATGGGCAGTTGAAAAACCTAAATAATCCTTTATCTCGGGAAATAATTTCAATCTGAATAATACTTATCTGAGGAAAAACAGCATCAAGTACGTGCTTTACTGACATTTCATTCCTCATTTTGATACGGAAACAGTTTTTTTCCGTCCCCAGTCTTAGAAGAAGAAAACAATGCATAAATCATAGACTTCTATTTAAACTATAGTTCAGGATTACCTAAATCATCTAACACACTGCTTTATTACCAAGAAGTTGAACTTGTGGATGCTTCTTAGCTGGTGGGTTAAGAAACAGTTTGTTTAAAAGTTACCCTATCTGACAATGTGTTCTTAGTGGTTGGATATTGCTTCTGTGAAGCCATGATCCAGCACTAAAGGTTATCAGGGGACACCACAGTTTGGCCTGATATTACACACTGACATGTTATTTCTTAATTATTTATCGCTGCATAGACACATCACATCACCCTACTGCTTACTGGATATACTTCCCTCACTTGTGTCCCTCTCCTCTATAACTGTGGCTGGGGGGGATGGGAACAAGGCCTTTACTCAGTGCTTCACTAAAATTCTGTTTTACTGAAGTTAAAAATGAGTTCAAAATGGTCAGTGAAGTTTTCACAAGCACGTAATTAGACAGCGTGCTTTCTAACTCATCTCTCAGAACTATCAAAAGTAGTGACTTCCTACAACTTGGCTTTTAGATTAGCAGAGTTAAAGGGCTGAGGAATGCCTGGTTTTGGAGACTGAGCTACTTCACCCACTAAGTCCTCTCCAAGCACTTTAGCTTAATAGCTGGGCAGCATAAGAGCAGCTTTTATATACACTGGATTATACACACTCTTTGTCTAGCTAAGTCTTTT